CAGCTTGAGGTTATGTTTTAGTTAAGTCTGTAGAAATACAAGCTCAGTTGGTTAGAGCACAATGTTATAACACTGAGGTCGAAGGTTTGGATCCCCACAGCTGCCAAAAAAAAAAAAAGACCAAACCCCCCCCCCCAAAACTAGAACTTTATAAGTTAAGAAAATATCCATATGACACAGGGGGAGGGCTAGGAAAAAGATCTCTTAAGCAGGACACAAACAGCAATACAGTGACTTTTTTTCTTGTTATTATTCCCAAAGCAGTATAGTATAACAACCATTTATGCAGCACTTGAATTGTATTAGGCATTATAGGTAATCCAGAGATGATTTAAAGTATATGGGAGTATGTACATAGGTTATTTGCAAAATCTATGTCGTTTTATATCAGGGACATCCACACATTTTGGTATCCCAGGGAGGTGTTGGGAACCAATCCCCCATGGATGGATATCCAGGGACAACTAATCAGTCATTAAGGAAAAGAATCCCACTTGGTTATGGTGTATATCCCTTTTTATATGCTGCCAGATTTGCTGTGGTATTTTGCAGTGTTTTGTTTGGAAATTTGCATATGTATTCATAAGTCTCTAGTTTTCTTGTGCTGTTTTTGTCTGGTTTTGGTTTCAGGGTGTAATAGTTTGCCAGAGCTGCCATACAAAATCCCACAGATTGGTGGCTTAAATTTATTTTCTCACAGTTTTGGAGGCTAGAAGTTAAAGATCAAGGTGTCAACAGGGTTGGTTCTTTCTGAGACAGGAGAAATAGCAAAGAATAGGAATTTCAGAAGGAAAAAAAGACACATGGAGGCAAGAAAAGAGGTGAAGGGGATTTTTCTGGCTTAAGATAAGCTCAATTCTGTATAGTGAAAACTGCTTTGGAAAGAGTATGTCTTTCATATTCTGTTATCTTTCCTCCATTGTTGCTTCTGTTTTTTTCTTTCTCTTTTAAGATGTTCTTCCCCTTGATTTTCCAGGTGACTATCTTTTCTTTCACTACTAACTTAGAAATTCAAAGCTCAATAGTTTGTATTAGCAGAAAGTTGTTATTCTATAATGGAGTATCCGAAAGTGCCCATTTTTTTTCCCTGTTAAATATTTGTGGTTCTGTCAAGCACTTGTTCCCTGAAATCCTCTTAAGTCTGAGGAGTGGTAGATTAACTGTGGGTACTGGAGCCCCTTTCCTCTGAGCTCTGTTCTCAACTTCTCCAGGACAGAATTTTGTGATCCTCTGAGCAGCAAATGTGGCCAGCTATGTGGAACCTGAAAAGGTGACAGTACTCCATGGAGACCTCCTGAGGGGGCTGTGGGCGTGGACTGCCAAGGTCTCCCTGGAGACCATCTGATATGTAATCTTTTTATGTTTTGTTTTCTGTTGTGACCTTTAGATATCTTGATTCTTGTGTCATTTGTAAAATGCTATCAATATCATGAGCCAACCTATGTTGGGTAAAAATTTGTCTCATGTTAATTTCAGTACAAGCATTATAGATATAATTTACCTAATATTACATTACAGTATTTTTGCTGTTTGAGAAATGAACACTGAGGAAAACTGTGTTATTGCCCTAGACTTAGCTACAGTAAGTAAATTAAAGGGCCTAATAGTTAAAAGATAGTGGGGGGTGTGTGTGTGTGCTGTCTGGTTAGCTCAACTGGTTAGAGTGTGGAGTTGATAACACCAAAGTCTGGGGTTCAATCCCTTTATCGGCCAGCTGACAAAGAAAAAGTGGAAAGTAGATTTCCTGTTGCATACAGATCAGGACATATCCCTTTGGTGGATAAAAATGTAGTAATGGAATAGAGTAGATATTTAAAATGTTAATAATGTGTAATGATCCATCTACAGCTTCTCAGTCCTTAATAGCTCTTAGGTATTGAACTTAGCATGTTGTGCGAATGGGGTGAGAATTCTCACACTTCAGATCCATGAGCCCCCTGAAAAGTTAAGTACAGTTGTGTGTGTTGGTTCATTTTTTAAAAATAACATTGGTCCAGACTTGCATCATATTCTCAAGTGCTAGCCTATGTCAGCAAGATATGTTTAAGAGTGGCTGAATTGGGACTTTATCAAATTACTGAGTTGGAAGAGACTTTTGAGGCCATTAAATCCAATTTCTGATACAATTTCTAGCAGAATGGGAAAACATCCATACTATACCACCACAGTAAATTTTTCCTCCTCAGACCTATCCGTACTCTTCATGTGGAAAACAGACATGAGCAGCAGAAACTATCCAAATTCTCTTTAGTGAATTTAATAAAAACAATATAAAGATTAAAGGAATTCAGCACAAAATAAAAATACTAATACATTTATAACACCAAGGTCACAGGTTCAGAATTTCTTACTAGCCAGCTGCAAAAAAACCCCAGAAAGAATACTAATACAAAGCAACCAACACCAAAACACATTCTAGCAAGGGCTGCATTAAAAAATGTAAGAAATTTTAATAAAGTGGGGTGAGGAGGGAGGAAGACACAAATAGGTAATGTACTTTTGCATTCCACTTTTTACTTAGTTTTTTTTTTTTAATTTATTTATTTTTGGTGGATGGCCAGCATGGGGATCCAAACCCTTGACCTTGGTGGTGGTATAACTACACACTGTAACCAACTGAGCTTACTGGCCAGCCCTAGGTTCTATTTTTAAGCCCTAGCTATTTACCTGGGGGGGAAAAGGAGTTCCCGGTCTTAATACATGGGATTCAGTGAGTCTCAGTTCCTACCCCTCACACATGCACTCCCATCCCCTGCTCAAGCTTACCATCTGTTTGAATGTCACCCCCAATCTAAGCTAATCCCCATTTTCTTTTTCTTTAAAGATGACCAGTAAGGGGATCTTAACCCTTGACCTGGCATTGTCAGCACCATGCTCACCCAGTGAGCTAACCGGCCATCCCTATATGGGATCTGAACCTGGGGTCTTGGTGTTATCAGCTTGGTGTTACCACACTTTCCCGAGTGAGCCACCGGCCAGCCCGCTAATCCCCATTTTCTATTTTTAGTTCATATCAAAATCTGTCATCATATATTTGTGCATTTCTTTATTGACTTCCTAGTCCACTGTTCTGTGGACCCACAAAGGCAGGAACTGCTGGTATTTCCCACTAAGCCCAGCCCCCAGCACAGTTCTTGTCTTATGGGTGTACAATATTTATTGGTGAATGAATGAATCTCCAAGTTTGGTAACTTCTTTTGCACATCACTCAAATCCTTTCAAATTCTCCAGTTCCCACCACCTCTTCCTGAACTTGTCTGATTCCTTCCTGTCTTTTCTCCATGCACCTGTTTCCACCATTCATTTTCTAGAAAGCATGTAAACTGTTCTGTTAAAAAGCTCAAATCACACCACATTCCATTGGAAACAATTAAGTGACTTCCCATTGGCCTTAGAATTCAGTCCAAAACACCAAACCTGGCCTTGAAAACTATGAAGGATTTTCTTCTGCCTCCTCCTTCCATTGATCTCAGACTTACCTGCAGTTGTTTTCTGTCTAAGCACAACACATTCTCCTGGCTCAAGTGTTATGCACATATTGTTCCCTCAGTGGCAGAAACCATATCATGACTGATTAATAATTAATATGTGCCTTGCCTGAGTCACAAACCACCAGTTCGTCAAAGGAGGCATGCCTAAAACTACTTAAGTGCAACAAACAGAAGTGATAAAAGGCATGACAATCACATAAGTTACCAAGAATATATTTTTGAAGATTTTAAGCAAAGTAAATGCTTATGAAGCAGTTAAGACCATTTCTGTAGAGCATCTTAACTTTCTGAAAAGAAGCCAATTTTGTGGCTAATTTTCCTTCAGAATATTGTTTTGTTTCTTGAATGTATGAGTTTTTACTGTCTTTCTCACTTCTCGGGATGGCTGGATTTTGAATCTTCTGAGAATCCTCATAAGAACAAGCAACGGGGTACAATTGGTAGCATTTTTATTATGGACTATTTTAAGCAAATACAAAAAGCTTCAACAATTACCAATGGTGAACAGTTTTTCTCTATATCCCTAACTACTTCCCTTGTGGATAATTTCCAAACAAATCCCAACTGTCACACCATTTCATCAACAAATATTTCAGGATGTATTTTTTTTTTTTTTTAAAGATGACCGGTAAGGGGATCTTAACCCTTGACTTGGTGTTGTCAGCACCACGCTCAGCCAGTGAGCAAACCGGCCATCCCTATATAGGATCCGAACCCGTGGCCCTGGTGCTATCAGCACCGCACTCTCCCGAGTGAGCCACGGGCCGGCCCTTTCAGGATGTATTTCTAAAAATTTAATTCTTTATTTTAAGACGTAACCACAATATGGTCACACCTAAAATAAATTTCTAATCACTGTTGAAATATCTATAGTTTTGTGTTTACCAGTTTGTTAGAATCATAGAATCGAGAGCCAAATACATCCCACGCATTATGAATCCTTCACAGATATCTTAAATTTCTTCTCATCAGTAAGTGGTGCCACCTCAGTCTTTCTTGAAACAGATTCGGGACATCAGATATCCATGAACATTTCTATAAGTATCTAAATAATAACGGTCTTAGGATTTTTTACGATAAAACTTACAGTTCCTTAATGTAAAATATTCAGTTACTGCTCGCATTACTGCAATTGTATTTTGTAGTTCTCCAGTTCACTTTAATTAGGATTCAGAGGCTCACAAAATGTAATTGCTTTTTAAGGCATTAATTTAGAAATTGCGTTTTTAAAGTTTTTTTTTTGGGGGGGGGGGAGTTTGCGGCTGGCCGATATGGGGATCCGAACCCTTGACCTTTAAAGATGATTTTTTAATTATGCAAAATATTTACATGAATCCACGGTCAAAGCGTACAAAACAAGATATTGTATGTCCACTCGTTTCCATTCTAGACTCCCTCCTGCAAAGGTGACTTGTTTTTAGTTTGCGAGTTTCTCCTCCACATTGCACTGGCCGCCGTTCCCTCCACGGCGGGTCCCCTGGAAGTTGCCAGTCGCCGCTCGGTTCCCTGGCCGGCTGCGTGCGAGACGAGTCGCTGAGCGCGGCCTTCTCGCCGCCCTTCTCTCCTCCCCCACTTCCTGCCGGGCCGGCCGCGGGCCGCACCTGCAGGAGCGCCCTCCCCATTGGTGACATCTTGGCGGGCCCAGCGGAGGCACTTCCTCCTCTGCACCCCGTGACCCGCGTCCGCTGCCGGCCTCGGTCACGCGGCTCCCCTTCCCGGACTCCGGACCCTGCGCCCCTCCGCCCAACGGCCTTCCCGACGTGGTGAGCCGCCGCGCGGGGCCCCGAACCCCTCCCCACCC